ATGGAAAGAGACACACACAACTAAAGCAGAATACCAACAAATAGACCGAATGTACAAAGATGAAATTACCGTGTTTCTCCAACAATACGGCCACCAATAGGAAGGCCCAGCATGTTTTATCGGCATAAAATCAAATTAAGCCCCTCCCCCCAAATTAAGGCCTATATTAAACATGCGAAATGGGGGGGAATGGTGGGGGGGACTTGCCGTTAGGAAGTACTTTTGTTGCATACCCGGATATGGTGCTGCCTGCGTTTACTTTGGCGTTGGTGGGGCACTTCGTATCAGGAGACCTTCCTCCACCATTGCTTTCCCTTCTTCCTTGCTGCCGTGGCGTTTAGAGCAACGCCGTGGCGTTTGGCTGTGAATATATATGGTAGCATACTTAGACTTCAGTAAGGCATTTGATAAAGTAGACTACAGCCTATTCCTTGGTAAGATAGAAAGATGTGGGATAAACAGCAGCAGCAGCAGTGGATGCATTCATAACTGGCTGACCAACCATACTCAGTTTTTCCAGATATTTGCACAGGTGCATTTCTGAATTATTTTCCTTGACACTAAAACAGACTCTTTATTTTCTTTTTCTTTACTCATAGGGTACTATTGTTGCTCTGATGCTACAGATATCAAAGCAACAGGGAACAGGCTGTTCTTTTTATTCTTAGAATCCTCTTAGAAACTTTGGAGAATGAAGCTGCAAAAAAATCTTCATAACAGCGTAGCAACCTTCCTTCCTTATAACTTATCTTTTGTTTAATTCAAAAGTGAGGGTGAGAAGAAAAGGAAAGTATCTGACTTGGGTAGAAACCAAAAGGTTGCCTGCTATAATATGGGTGAAACAGAGGTGTGGTGACAGAAGAAATGAAGAGAACACGGTGATCAAGAGATGTCCTGGACTTCATGGTCTCAATGGGCCATTGTTAGGTCAACTTGTTTTGACCCAGCTCCCCAAACACAAAAACCCTCTGATGTGAAATCAAAAGATTCTTTTATTAGGAATGCCGGCAGCCTTCTGCCACACCTATTCATCTCCACCCCCTGCCTTTTATCCCCAGAGCTAGGGTGGGCCTTGCTAGCAGTGGTGGCTCTTCCTTCCCCAGGATCAATCCACGGTTTTCCACTGCTCTCCTCTTCTTTGCCTTCTACGCAGCCGTGAGTCAATCACTGGACCCAGCTGTTCCTCCTCTTCTTCATCAACCATCTCCAGGCCTGGGGGCTGTTGACTCTACATTTGACGGCCGAGGCTCCGTCTCTGTTTCTCTCTCTCTCTCTCTCTCTCTCTCTGCCAGCTCCATTCCCTCTTCCCCCTCGGAGCTCCCAGGTTGCCCTGATGCTGACCCTGACTCCCACGCCACCTCCTCTTCCTCTGATTTGGCTGCCGGAGGGGCCAGAGGCTGACAGGCCACAACACAACTGAAACAGTAGTGCTGTTCTACCGGTTCAGCACGGTTCTGGCGTATTGGTAGTGCCGAAGATCAGTGGAGACCGAACCGTTTCTCTCCGATGAGCTGCCTGGGCTCCCATACTGACCTTTATTCCCTGGTTTTGAAGTGCAGCTGCTTTGCGCGGCACAGCAGATTGCCACGCATCTCCCTGTTGAAGCTACAGGGAGAGTGCAAGATTGCAGGAGATGAGTAGGAAAGCCTCTGCACGTGCACAAAGCGTGCATTCGGCGCATGCACGGCAAAGTGTAGGTGCGCACGCAAAGCGCGCCCACCAAGCCACACCCACTGAACCAGTGGTAAACTACTTTGGAACCCACCACTGAATTGAAAGAAAATGGTGGTATGCAATAGAGGGGAATATCTGTAGCTCAACTGTAGGATGAGGGTGAAGGTTCATTCTCCGAGCTTGTGGGTTGGTTTCTGTTTATTACCTGAGGATTACAAGATCTAATTACAAGACCTAGGTCTTGTAATCCTCAGGTAATAAACGGAAACTAACCCACAAGCTCAGAGAACAAACCTTCACCTTCAAAGTGGGAATCAGCTGGGAACATAGCCCAGCAGCCCAGGAAGAAGTGAATATTCAAGGTAATGACAGGCCCTTGGAGAGGAACTTGACCATTAGTAATCACGGCCTATTAGTTTCATTTTTTATGCTTCTTTGTTGCCAAATCATTTATTTCAATTTGTGTTTCTTCAGCATTTGTGCAGGCTTACCTGTTCATTTCAGATGCCGAAGAAATATTTCCGTGTAACTAACCACTGACGCATCAGCAATCAAAATATTACATTTCAAACCTTTTCAGTACTCAAACTCTGCTGCTGCCTGATTTCCCCAAGTGCAATGTTTTGGAACTGGATAGCTGAGATTTATGCAGGCAGACGGCTTCCTGATGACTGCATCTCTACAGAGGTTCAAGAACATAAATTAATGAAAGTCAATTGCAATTTATGTTTCTCAAATTAGTTCCAGATCCAATTGTAAAAGGAGCATGGCATGAAAGAAAAACATACATTCTAGCCAAATACAGCTCATGTTGGATGAAAAGCTGTCATTAAGCAATACTCAGGATAGGAGCGTCTAGACTGTAGTTTAAGATTGTTCATTATTTTTTCTTGCAGATAATTTTGACCATTACCATAAAAGCATCATTTACTGCAGAGGCAGGAGACCTTCAAACATGCCCAATTTACTATTTGAATCATCTCTCCCTCTCTCACAACCTACTATACACATACTTTTCTCTTTTCCAAGCACATGACAGAAATATATTGCAGCAGTTTTAAGAATTCATTAGGGTTTGTCTGTCTGTCTGTCCGTAACTTGTAACTTTTTTCTTCTTCAAAAATTCAGCAACTTCCCATGATTTCATAAAGAAAGGGCCCCATGTCTGTAATAGGAACATAAGAAGAAATGCATATTGGACCTCAGTCCACATTGTTTAGAGCTGTGGCTCAGTGAATAAGATGCTGAGCTTGTCAAGCAGAAAGGTCAGCAGTTTGGCGGTTCGAATCCCTAGCACCACATAACGGAGTGAGCTCCTGTTACTTCTCCCAGCTTCTGCCAACCTAGCTGTTCAAAAGCATGTAAAAACACAAGTAGAAAAAATAGGGACCACTTTAGTGGGAAGGTAACAGTGTCCCGTGCGCCTTCGGCGTTTAGTCATGCCAGCCGCATGACCACAGAGACATCTTCAGACAGCGCTGGCTCTTCGGCTTTGTAATGGAGATGAGCACCGCCTCCTAGAGCTGGGAACCCTTACCTTTACCTTTAATGGTAGCAACTCCTCACAGTTTCAGTCTGGAGTTTTTTCCTCCCCACGCAAAGCAGTATTTCTATAACCTTTCACTGCAGATTTTCACTTTATGAGGAAAAGACAGAGGAGTCTGTGTTGGGAATGAGTTTCACAGGGAGGTTGGGGAAAATGGTTAGGACTCTGTGTCGTTTGTTATAGCTGTGGAAATCCTCTGAAAGAAGACCTTGCAATGTGTGAGAGCATTTAAGAGGCATATTGCTCTTAACCATGGAAGCAGCCCTGTTTCCCATAGGCTTAAAATTTGCTATGGCTGTCTCTTCATGAGAGAACCATTCACAGCTACTTTGCTTCACTGGGAGAAAGGCTCTATTGCAACAAAATAAATCTGATTGTAAGATATACTGTATGCTTCACAAGCCACTCCAGTTCTTAATACAGTATATTCTTACAACAATGAGGGTCAGTAGCCCATCTCCTTTAAACACATTTTCCTTTCTCTCCAAAAAGGACAGACCAACAAACCAGGAGTCTGAATGGCAATAGTGAAGTGTGTCCATCCCATCTCTGCATGTTTACAATACTAATGTTTTCCCGAAAATAAGACCCTGCCTTATATTTTTTTTGCCAAAAAAGGCACCAGGTCTTATTTTGGGGGGATGTCATCCACTGACTAACCTCACTTGCGTGCGTTGTCCCTGGCATCCTTTTTGCTGTCAGAGGCCTTCAGGAATGTCTTCTTCTGCAGCTGGCAAGGCTTTTCTGAAGGCCTCTGCAGCCAATAACAGAGTTCCGGATCAATCCGGAGCTTTGTTATTAGCTAAAGAGGCCTTCAGGAAAGCCTTGCCAGCCTTGCCGGCTGCAGAAGAAACGGGCCAGCAAGGCAGGTGTCAGGGTGTGTGAGGCCTGGCTACAACTGTCCAAAGGTAAGTAGTAGGGCAGCTGCACCCCCACCCTAGCTTAATTTTTAACCATGCACTCTGGAGTGGGCGGGATCTTAATTAGGGCTTATTTTGGGGGTAGAGCTTATATTGGGCGCACGTGTAAAAATCAAGCTAGGACTTACTTTCAGGTTAGGTTGTATTTTCAGGGCAACAGGATAATTATGGGAGATGTGTTGGGGGCATCCAGGAAAGTACATGAACACTGTCCGTAACCAGTGTCCATCTAGCAGTAACCATGAGAACTGCAGAGCAGAGTTTTTATTAAGTTATGGGAAGGGTAGGCGAAAGGGACAAATTTGAGTTTGAGAAGGTGCATTCAGAGAGCGCAATTTCATTTGTCAGGAGGAGAATCATCAGTTTACAATAAAGATTTCTTTCTAGTTGTGCTGGAGTGAATATCTAGGAAGCTTCAAGTAAGTTCTTCACAGCTGATGATATAGGGGTGGGTATCGTTAATAAAATCAAAATGGCAGCCACAATGGCGTGATAAAAGCTCCACCTATTTTTATGGGTCTTGTGCATATCCTACAGACAACCCAGTGAGGGTTGCGGGTATTACAAAATATGTAGGATCTTAAATACAAAACAAGTATTTATTGAAATCCCACATAATGACATTTCTGGTTGGATTAAGCAATGGATGTTTATGTATCCTTATACATGGAAATTATAGCATTTTAGCTTTAATTGCCTTTATTGTTGATTAGTCCATTGGCCATATCAAAATACAGAATAAAACATAAAACTTTATAAAAGTATTTTGCATTAATTGTACAATATTCATCAACACCGATTTCTGTTAAATTATAAACCTGGCACTAGGGTTTTTTCCTTCTTTTTTTCCTTGTTTTCAGACATTGATGAATGTGAAAATGACTTCTACAATGGAGGCTGTGTACATGAATGCATCAATATTCCTGGGAATTACAGGTGTATGTGTTATGATGGCTTCATGTTGGCTGAAGATGGACACAATTGTCTTGGTGAGTCATTATAGTACAGAAACTTGATATATTTCTTATCTGTTAGATACTGCTCATTTCTCCAAGGAAGCACAAAACTATCTAATTCCTCTGATAAGGCAATTATCATTATCTTATTCCAGGCTTTAAATTATAGATAGTTTCTTCAAGTATTTGGCTAATGTCATTCAGATTAAACTGTTTATCTGAAACTATGATCCAATCTATCTACTATGTTCCCTGAAAATAAGACCCTGTCTTACATTTTTTTGCCACCGAAAAGGCACCAGATCTTATTTTGGGGGGATGTCATCCACTCACTTGCTCGCGTCACCCCTGGCCTCCTTTTCACTGTCAGAGGCCTTCAGAAATGTCTTCTTCTGTGGCTGGCAAGGCTTTCCTGAAGGCCTCTGCAGCTGATAACAGAGCTCTGGATCAATCCGGAGCTTTGTTATCAGCTACAGAGACCTTCAGGAAAGCCTTGCCAGCCTTGCCGGCTGCAGAAGAAATGGCTGGCGTATGTTGGGGTGTGTGAGGCCTGGCTGCAACTGTCCAAAGGTAAATAGTAGGGCAGCTCCACCCCTCCCCATCTCCACCCTAACTTAATTTTTACCCGTGCACTCTGGAGTAGGTGGGATCTTAATTAGAGTTTATTTTGGGGGGTAGGGCTTATATTGGGCACACGTGTAAAAATCAAGCTAGGACTTACTTTCAGGGTAGGTTGTATTTTTGGGGAAACAGGGTAGAGGTAGAATCTATATGGAAATCAAGGTGTGAAATATGTCACCTACAGTGCTCCAGTTGGTTCAGCAGATGCAGAATGGTCCTGTTCCAGATCCAGCAGCCATGCCTCTCCTGCAGAAAACTCACAGCTGTTTTACCCAAAAGATTTGAAGGAGAGTCAAAAAAAATAAATAAGAATCTTCATTGCTCAATATTACCAGCAGAGTTCCTGACCAGCCAGTCACGAGTCTCCTTTGTACTCAGTTTCCTGGCAGTCTCAATGGCACGATGGGTGCTTCTCAAAACACCGTTACTCTCTTATGGATAACTATCAGAACTTCATGGCAAACTTCAAAGAACACTGAAGGAAGTTACAGGAACATGCCAGATTCAGGAACTCCGACAAGGCAATAGAAGTGTCTGGCAGTATGTAGAGGAATTCATATTAGTCGCAAAAGATTTGGGTTGGAATGAATTAGCTCTCAAGGCTCAGTTCAGGGAGGGTCTAAAGATTCTTTAGGTCAGGGCTCTCCAACCTTGACAACTTTAAGCCTGGCGGACTTCAACTCCCAGAATTCCCCAGCCAGCTGTCTGGGAAATTCTGGGAGTTGAAGTCCGCCAGGCTTAAAGTTGCTGGCTGGGAAATTCTGGGACTTGAAGTCCGCCAGGCTTAAAGTTGCCAAGGTTGGAGACCCCTGCTTTAGGTAAAACAACACTTCAGGTCAGGGGTTGGGAACTTTTTTTTTTCTGCCAAGGGCCAGCTAGATATTTATAACATCATTCACAGGCCATACAAAATTATCAACTTAAAAATTAGCCTGCTGTAAAATCTTACGTGAGGAGATTTTAATGAGAAAGTTCCTTTTGAAGTATTTTAAAGGTTGTTTTTTTTAAGGATTTAAGGATTTAGATTTCTCTGTGTGGTAGATCCATCTCATTTTTTAAAAGGACAAGTAAAATAGAAATGTGTGTATCCTTCTTCACCTTTTCTGCGCTACTTCTGCTTATCGTATAAAGCCTCGTATTGTTAAAAAAAACACAGCAGGAATATCATAAGTAAAATCTGCAAATATTTGGGCAGGTTTGGGTGATCCAACATTTTACCCATTTTTTGTGAATAATTTCCTCAGTAGAATAATACTCTGCAATACAATTTTCCCTGTTAGGGACTGTGTATAGTAATGTTGCAAAGGCAACTGCAGAAGGATAATAATGTTTGTAACAAGAAAAAACAGAAATGCCATTTCCATTTAAATTTGTGGAGATGAGGTTGATTTATTCCTCAGTAGGGTTTCTTTCTTAGTTTAGTTTTTTTCTTTCTGTTCAGATGGAATGAGTTTTATTTTACCTTCTTTGGTTGAGATTCCTTGGCTATACATTTATATTGGATATACTCCATGTCTGCCCTCAGGGGAAGTCATTTTTTATTTGACATTTTTATTGAACAATTTCACAAATATGATATGAAATGACACTGGGGTTTTTCAAACCATGGTGAGATTCTCATCTGGTTAAATATAGTCCGTTTTAACATTGTAATTGCTTGAAACAGCAGAAGTTCCTTTTGAAGATTATTATTTGATGTTCAGTTCAGGCAACACAGGTTTAATATTTAACTTTGAGAAATGAAGAGTCCGCAAGGCCTTAATTTGAAACCAGTAAGTGAAATAAATTTTCTGTTCCTGGGTAGATAGGCTCAAAATCCAAAAGTCACCACAATATTAAAAAAAGATGTAGAAAGAATACAGAGAAAAGCAACAAAGATGATTAGGGAGCTGGAGGCTAAAGCATATGAAGACCAGTTGCAGGAATTGGGCATGTCTAGTTTAGTTTAGTTTAGTGAAAAGAAGGACTAGGGGAGATATGATAGCAATATTCCAGTATTTGAGGGGCTGCCCACAAAGAAGAGGGAGTCAAGCTATTCTCCAAAGCACCAGAAGGCAAGACAAGAAGCAATGAATGGAAACTAATCAAAGAGAGAAGCAATCTTAGAACTAAGGAGAAACTTCTTAACGGTGAGAACAATCAACCAGTGGAATGGCTTGCCTTCAGAGGTTGTGGAGACTTTCAGGAAGAGACTGGACAGCCAGGGTTGGACTAGATGACCACCTATGTCCCTTCCAGCTCTGTTACTCTATGTTTTTCTATACATAAGGGAAATATTTTCTTACAAGCTCCAGGCAGATTTGTTTGGAGAAACATAATCCAGAGATAACTTATTTCTGAGAAGAGTAAATTTGCAGAGAATCAAGGCAGAACAGTAGTAAATTTCTGCCTTACTACTACCAATGGGTGTTTCCATCCTGTTCTTCAAAAATATACCAGTACAAGGTATAAGTACCATCAGAGAATTTTAAAAAAATGTTAAGTTAAGCCTCCCTCAAGTCAGGCATGACTCCTGATTATGCCCTGATTAGTGTGAATGGAATTTTCTCAAACTTGCTACTTGGGAGGGGGGGGGGGGCATCTTTTTCTTTCAGAATGTTCTTCTGACTTCCCAGCCTAACTTTCAGAGTCCAGGCTCTCCCAAGATATCTCTCATCCAAACTAGATCCTGACCCTACTTAGCTGAAGATTGGCTAAACTGAATTACAAACAAACTACAAATTCCGCCTTAATGATTATTCAGAAGTGTAGACAATCATTCATGAAGTAAGGACCGACTGACTGCTCCCTTAAAGCAACCAGACATCCCATGGATATAGGCCCTGCATTGTGAATGGATGAGGGACCAGAAAAATGAACCAGGCTTGGCCAAGCTTGAGGGAAATAAAAGAAAGGGAACAGGAGTGGGCTTCAAAAATTTTAGCAACAGGCTCTCTGCCTGGTTGCTGGGGGCGTAGCCATGGTGGGTGTGGCCTAGTCAGCCTCCTGCACCATAGTAGGGGGAGGTGTTTTTGCCCTCCCTAGGCTTTAGAAGCTTTCCTTGAGCCTCCAGGAGGGCAAAAACAGCCTCCCCCAGGCAGGGGTGGGATTCTACCAGTTCGCACCTATTCGCTAGAACTGGTTGTTAACATTCTAAGCAGTTCGGAGAACCGGTTGTTAGAAGAAATTACTGGCCTAATCCTGTAAGGAAGGCAGGAAGGAAACATTCTGGTGTTGCTTACAGAAACTGCCTCTCCGTTAACCCTTATTACATTCTTGGCAGGACTAGACTTCCTGTCTCAGGAACATCTCTAGAGTTTTTTTTCCCCTCCTTTGCTGGTACTTTGCTTGTGTGGAGTGACCATTCAAAGTTACAATGGCACTGAAAAATGTGACTTATGACCATTTTTCACACTTACGACTGTTGCGGCATCCCCACAGTCATGAGAGGCCAGGCGAGGAGATGCGTGCCTCAATGTGAGTGATGTTGAGTTGGCCATGCCCAGCCAGTCACATGACCACCAAGCCATGCCCACCACCTAAGCCACGCCCACAGAACCGGTTGTTAAAATTTTTGAATCCCACTCCTGCCCCCAGGCTGCGGAGACCCTACGGAAGCCGGAAACAGGCCAACTTCCGGTAGGCCTGTTTTTCGCCCTCCCCGAGTCTCCACGCACACCCTGCACTGGCCTGCATCCAAAATGGGTCGTGGGAGGGGAGGGGGGGGTAGGTGGGGCCAGCCAGGAGTGGGATTTGGGGGTCCTCCGAACTATATAGAATCTTAGCTAGAGGACCTTCTGAACCCCTGCGAAGCCTCAGCAGCCCAGCCCTGAAAGGGAAGTAAGTCGATCAGTGGAGGGAGGGGACCATCCATAACCTTGGCAGCAGGAACTCCCACAGAGAGGTGGTTTAAAAAAGTCAAGTTGGAAGATGTTTTGACTTCAGCAGAGTTAGTTTGGAAAATCTTCAAACGTAAGAACTTCCTTTGCCATTGTAACAGACTTTAGAAACATTTTCAAATTTAACCACCAAAAAAGTTTCATGAAAAATGAAACATTCATCATTCACAGTGAATAACTGGATAATTTTACAATGAAAGGAAGACAGTATTTTTCAAGTGCGGTCAGAAAAAATTACTTATTTGCCTTTCTCCACTCTTTAAAAAGGACCAGTTCAATCATTCTCCAAACATCAAGAAAAATTAGATTTACACTTGTGAAAAAAAAATCATTTCAGAAATTGCCAGATGTGAAATGTCAACAAGTTGTAGCATTAATTGATTTAAGATTACACAATCACTGCCCTGATTAAAGAAAGCAATGCTTCCTTTTCTTCTATTCTGGATATTTAGCTTTGTTTTCCTCTCTTTGGACAGCTGGTTACAACATGTGGGTCGTAAGAACCCCAGATGTATTTTTCTGTTCCTGATATTT